CCCCAGAACCCCAAAACCCCAAAACCCCATTGTTGGAAAATTCAGAAAATTATGGTTTTAATTATCAAAATGGAAAACAAATAGAATTTGTAATAAAGTGTAAAGGATAGGATTGTCATAATAAGAGAATAGCTTAAAGATATTAAAATTCAACATATAGGCTTTGAGACACTTAAGGATCATATTAATGACATTATTCATTAGATAATGAGGTGAAAAGATATTAATTTGAATGAAAAACAGTTAAAGACTATGCAAGATATCATAAAAGTTACATAGCAAAAGAACAAAATGCCAAAGGAATTACTAGCATTAATAAACTAATTAGATTACATCATTCTAGAATTTAAACTTAATGACATAGATCTTCTAAGTTATGATGATCTCCTAACAGTGATGAGTTATTTTTGGGAAGTAGATGTTTAATTATATCCTCAAATTGACTATATAATCTTCGATAAGCTTTAGAATGAGTCTACAATTAATCTTGAAGATGAGATTAGTGACGCTTTATTTTGGGATTTCTATGCATCAGGTGATTCAAAGTACATAAACTTTATGGATCTCTATAGATCTGTTCAAAAATTGCAATTTTATGCCAATAAAATTAATAGTGATAAGTTTATCAATGACTTGGATATTTGAAAATTATTCCAAACTATGCTAAAACCTTTAAAAGAAACTAAGCAAATGTATTTAAAGTAAAATCAACATTTAATTTCTAGAGATATATTTGAAAACTGCATTGAATAAGCAATATCTATGAACAATTTGAATGACCAGTTAATCAAAGTAGATGTAAAGACTAATTACCTATAAAAAACAACAGAGGCTAATTTTATTGCTACTAGGATTAAAGATAAATTTGATATTAATGAGAAAATCAGCATAGCTTAATCCAACGCTACTTTAAAAATAGTTTCGTTTGAATATGACTTAAGGTACTAACTTCAATAAGATTAGTAACTTCATTTAAATCCTGGCATAAGAATTAATATTGGTAATTCTCAATTTGTTGTGCTAGAAAACTTATCCTTTTATGAAACCTATTATAATCAGAACACCATTAATTAGCCTATAAAAAGAAAAAGTATCAGTTGTAATAAGATCATTCAAGCCAGCATGATTCCGAAACTTAAAATCCTTTTCATAGATGGTTTTAACAGAGGAGAAAAATATCTTTTGGAGCCAAGTTTAGAAGGAGGAAAATCAGAATTCACATTAGGATCAAGTAATTCAGATATCACTGTGCCAGGTATTGAGGATAAGGCAGTTATATAATTTAAATCATCTACTGGCTGGGTACTTTACCTCTTAGGAAAACAGTAAATTATTTGGTGGTACCTTAGAAACTAAGGGACTTCAAGAGAGCAGTCTGTTGAATATGAACTAATCAAAGGTGTATACTCTGTAAATGACTGTGTTTATAATATAAATATAATGTGAATACTTTGATTATATAAAGTTAATTTCATCAATTGCTGATAATATTTAATATTAAACACTTGATTATCACATTAGAGTTATGGTAAGCTAAAAACTCATTTTCAGAATAAGGTTTAATTGAATTTTCATCTATAGACAACTATAATTGCCAAACCCAAGAAAACAAAGACCGATAGAAAGAAAGGAGTACCCTTTAAGATGATGTTTAGAAACCATATGGATCCAGACTATTACGACCCCAAAGCAAACGATAAAATATTTGTACCTGATGTTCCTGCTTCTGTATATTTATTTGCCATTATCTGATATGTTAATAGAATTTGACTGATCAGCAAAAGAAGATCATTGAGACTTTCCCTGAGAGAGACAGAGGTATCTTTAAAGAGGGTGAAAACAACATTGTTGAAGAGGATCCATTGGAGGCAGTTGTTAAGAAAATGAAGTTGAAAAAGAAGGAGAAGTATAGCTAGAAGCAAAAGAAAGTTAAGTTTGAAGGGGACGGCAATTTTGCTATTAAGAATGAAGACGAGGAGGATGAAGATTCAGAAGGTGAATTGGATGATACAGATGAAGAAGAGTATGACGAGGAAGAAGGAGAAGATTATGAGGATGATGAAGAAGAGGAGTCAAAGGAGCCAAAGGAGAAAATAGATGATGCAAACAATGAGATCAAGAAAGCATAGAAATTTGTGCCTGCAGAAGGTGTCAAGTTTACTATGTATGATGAATATGGCCTGCCAAAGAATGATGGGTTTAATTACTAGCAGTTTATAGTCACGGATGATTTAAGACCCTCAGACATGTACATTGAGGCTCCACCTGAAATGGTTGAACAGATGTATAAGAAGACTGGCTATCACAGAGACGTTGACAAAGAAGTCAACTAAATGACAGAAGAAGGTAATAACTATATATTTTAAGTTTTCTAATATAGAGAAGGCAGTTTTCAATTGCATGTTTGACGATGAAGGAGAGTATGATGAACTTGAGGATGATTTTTTAATGCTTGCTAATGAGGGTAAGGCTGCTATCGTGGTTGTAGAATCCAATAATGAAAAGAAAATCAATGATAACCAGCCTGAATTCGCAAATAAGGGAGTAGTTATAGTTAGAGATGAGGAGGAGGAAAAGCTAAAGGCAATGAGAGAAAAATACAAGAAATAGCTAGGAATTGGTCAGCCTAAAGAAAATGAAGAGGATGATGAGGATTATGAAGATGTCGATGGAGATGAAGAGGATGAAGATGACGAAGAGGAAAAAGAAATAGATGAGGGTGATTTTGATCAAGTATTAGAGAATGAATATGCAGATGATTAAATTGGAGAGGCTCCAGATGCAGAGTAACAAGATCTTATTACAAAGGAGATGCTTGACGAGGCAGTTGATGAATTTATTGAAAGCTAAAAGCTCAGAGATCGTAAGCTGTATAAAGAGTTCAAGCCTGATGGTGCTCCAGAAGAGCCTATTCCACAACTTAAGACAAAAGCCTAGATCGACGCTGAAGAGGCTGAGACTGAAACTGAAAAAGCTGAACTTAGAAGAAAAGCTTTGTTTTTAGGAGAAAAACTTTAGTTAGAGTTAGACGAGAGAGATGTTGACTTTGAGGAACGTGATTGCTATGATCATAGTAGCGATGATGAGCAGAAATGGGATTGCAATACTATCTTGTCAACATTTACTAATACAGACAACCATCCAGGAGTTATTAAGACCACTAGAACAGTTAAAGTAAACAATAAGAAAATGGAACTTCACAAGTAATTTAAAGTACCCATTGAAGGATTAATGGCTATGGAAATCGATGTACCAAGGGAAACTAAAAAATTGAAGAAAAATGCTAAGGGACCTTATGAATAAGTTGAAGAAATAGAAAGTGAAGGATCCTCAAGTGGAAATGAAGATTAAGATTAAAAAGATGGGGCCGAAGGTGAGAGTGATCCAAAGGACCTTAAGAAATAAAGAAAATTGCAACAAAAATAAGAGAAGAGAGATAAAAGAAAACTAAAGAAGGAATTAAAATTAGCATTTAAGACATAGAACACAAAGCTTGTTAAAGCGACTACCACTGAGATTGGAGCACTTAAAACTGGAGTTTCTGTTAAGAAAATATACTGAGAAAATGCTTTGTTTATGGTTCAGTAATAATCATTAATATAGAAAGATAGAGTTGCGAAGTAATATATATTGCTGCAATTATTTATTTTAACTTTAATTAAAGTAATAAACCCATAATAAATATATTTATACCTTACAAATCAATTAACCACTATCTATCATACTTTATCATTTTGAGTACCGTTGTTAATGCCTATTTAGTTATTATTATTGGAATTATAACTACGGTTGATCATTTATTGACCAAATGAGGTTGACATTTACCCAATAGAAATGTTTTCTGGTATTATCTTGCCTTCGATGTTCATTTGATTTTTATTCAAATTTTATTAATCATTGCCTTTTTCATCAAACATAATTTACAAGCTTTCCATCTGCAATTAATCTTAATAATTTTGCTCTATATTAAATTACTCTTCATAATTTGGCTAATTTTGTTGAATATTCATGTAATCAAGGTACTCATCGTGATATTGATTTTAATTAGGTATATTTTAGGAAAAATTTAGGAATCTTTTTGATGGCGTATTGAAATGAGAGAGTCTAGCATCATAGTTCACCATTGGAGAGTGAGGTATAGAAGGTAGATTCTGCTGGCTGTATTGATTATTTAAACCTTAAGTAATCATATTGGCTGGATTTTATTGCTTAATTGGTATATTCTACTAAATCATGTTGTTTTAATAAACATTATGGTCTACCTAAGGTGTTTGTATTGGTAGCTGATTACTCTATATAGGCACAGTACTGTTACTGATATAATAGATCTGAATCTAGTTCTCTTGATCTACATTGCTATCTGGGTGTTAATGATGTGTCTTTTATTTTTGTTTCGGTGTGTTGATGAATAACTAATACTTGTGACTTAGATAGTTCAATAGGTCTTCATATTCTTCCCTTTATAGTCCATTTTAGCCAGCCTACAGACTTCTGTACTAATATTCTTCTCTATTTTTTAATGCTAATGCATGCATTTCCTTTATTTAGGCTTCTGAGGGTATTTCTAGTGTACTACCTGGAGGTGCTCTTATTGCGATTAAAGTATTTTAGTGTTCACCATTTTAATTTTTGTAATGATCATTTCCCTCGTCATCAGAGTTTAAATTTGCTGAATTAAGCCCACGATCATATAGATTAGATTTCTCGTTATCAGAGATATCTTCATCATCTTCTTTGACCAGATTATACTGATTCAAAACCTCAAGATCACTAATCGTGACATAAGCATAACTAGCATACATACTATCTTTCTTTAAATTATTTCGATGATGACCTAAATTCTAAACATGCTTATCTAGTTATTTTTCCTATTCAATAAGCTCTCTCATTCTTTACTACAGCATTAATGATTCCTCTAGTAAATTGGGATCAACTTCAGCCTCTCTTCTGTCATTGTGGTTATTCTGATTTTTCTTATTGTTTTTATTGTGTATACTATCAGGTCCAGCCCATCTTATTTTATTTTTCTTATATTTCTATATTAGTCCAATGCCCTCTAGCACATTTGTGATATCATATATTCTTCGCTTTTGCACGGCTAACTTTAAGACAGTGTCATTTAGATCTACGCATTGATCAGGTGCCTCTCTTAAGAGCTAGATGAATTTCTTAGTCAACTCAACTAGACCATTCTCTTGTCTAGCTCTTTTTCCAAGCTGATTAAAAGATTGGTAGTTAATGTCTCTTGATTATGATCTTGTTTAGTGGTAACTATTATTACTCTAAGGAGTTTTTTGTTCATTTAAGGGTGATTCTCCATTGATATCATTATTTTGAAACTATCCTTGGCTTCTGAGATTGGCATATTCTCACACTCCTCTAAGATTATGCTTAGTAGTAGGCTATAACTAATCTTAAGTTTCATTTTTTATTCTGGGCATCATCTAATGATTATAATCTTCCTACACTTTAACTCTTTGATTTGGGCTATCTCTATGCATTCTTCAAGTTTTTACTTCTTCAAATTAATTCTTTTCTAATTTGATCTATAAATTACTAGCTACAGTTGACTCAGTCTTGCTGCTAATTTTGTTGATTAACCCATTATTTTGCATTGCCTACTACGATTATAAACTTGAGTTTGAATTTGAGTTTTTCAGAATTTTCTTCTTTCTACCTCTCTTCTTGTTAGGAGACTGTGACTTATCTAACCTCTAATTATTCTAAGTGGATTTCCGACTCGGACTGCTTAAGACTACAGTAGATTAAGCACTTGAATTCCTCTAAAACTCATCTTTTCTTTTTTTTCTCTGTGAGATGCTTATATTCATTTTATTATATATAATCAGTAATTAAAATTCTACCAAATCTTTGAAAAATAGAGGAATTGGGGTTTTGGGGTTTTGGGGTTTTGGGG